AGAGAGACAGAGAGAGAGAGAGACAGAGAGAGAGAGAGACAGACAGACAGACAGACAGACAGACAGACAGACAGACAGACAGACAAACAGAAGGACAGACAGAGACAGAGACAGAGACAGAGACAGAGAGACAGAGAGAGAGAGAGACAGAGAGAGAGAGAGAGAGAATCGACTATAGAATATCGTTCCACTGTAAAGATGTAAAATACCAGCTGAACATGTTCATAAGCCGAGCTTTGTATGCTAAGCTCTTTATAATTTTTCAATAGCGAAGCTTTATTTGATGGCAAAAATAATTTGGTGCAAGACGTTTTTTCTATGTTAGGTTGCCTTTTTTTTCTTATCAGCAAGATAAAAATGACATTCCTTATTTTTCTTTCAAAATGAAAATTTATCATCTTTCCGTTTATAACTCAGCTCCTGCGAATTCCTCAATATTGTATTGATTAATAAATATGCTTATTGTATTGACTGTATAACATTGTATATCTATGTACTGTAAAGCGCTTTAGAGTGGCTTGTGTTAGCTAGATAGGGAGGGCGCTATATCAAATGTTGTATATATAAACATGACTTCAACCCAGCGTCTGGTGAGATAATCTAAACATGACTTCAACCCAGTGTCTGGTGAAATAACGTACACATGACTTCAACCCAGCGTCTGGTGAAATAGCGTAAACATGACTTCAACCTATCGTCTGGTGAGATAACGTATACATGACTTCAACCCAGTATCTGGTGAATTACGAACACATGACTTCAACTATGCGTCTGGTGAAATAACGTAAACATGACTTCAACCCTGCGTCTGGTGAGATAACGTAAACAAGACTTCAACCCAGCGTCTGGTGAGATAAGTAGCTCTAGCTTTGCTCGCTCATACTGGACATTAGTGTTTTTTTTGTTTTTTTTTAAATTTCAGATTTATTCATACTAATTTACTTAATATACTTGTGAAACTGTTTGACTTCAACTTTAACCGCAGTTGTTTCGACAGACTGCGGTACGTTAACATTAACAAACATATATTAGACTTCGGAAAAGAACATTCACAAAATCATTTTTGAGAAACTCTTTTGTCCTTTCTTATTTATTTAACCATCACAATCAAGATACATGAATTTCGTAGGACATTTTCGTATTTCAAATCACTTTCAAGATCAAATAATTAATACCCAGCTGAGTAGACTTCTGATAATCATGACTAACATGTACATTTAAATGCTAGCATAGTAAAGTTGGCTACAGTGTATCTTCAATTACCAAGCCTAAACAGTGTGAAACAAACTATTATAATTGATGATGGAATTATGAAACAAACTATTATAATTGATGATGGAATTATTAAACAAACTGTTATAATTGATGATGGAATAATAAAATAAACTATTATAATTGATGATGGAATTATTAAACAGGAACAGGAACATCGGCTGTATTCGGCAGATTCTAACTGCAGATGCATGCAAGATTTTGGTGCATTCACTTGTTACCTCTCGGTTGGATTATGGTAATGCCCTGCTCTGTGGTATATCTGACAAACTAACTAGTCGTCTGCAGAGGGTTCAGAACACTGCAGCACGGCTAGTTACTCNAGTCTCAAAGTTCTGTCTTTATTTCAATTATATTACATTTAATTTGATCTAATATGATCGTTCCCGATAAATTAGCCATTTATTTGTAGATACACCGGCAGTTTATGTCACCTAACACCGGTTGACGATTCATGGTCAACCTAACGCGACATTTCTTTGTTTGTGCCTTTATTCTGATGTAGCCTTTACTATATTAAATATGAAGCACTAACTTGTACAGACAGTATAAAAACGTATATTAGTTTGAGGTCAGGTAATTTTGTCCACTCATTTTTTCAGTTTTGAGTATACAACTGACCATATAAAAATTACATAAATTTCTGTTATTTGAAAGAATCATTTATCTCCTGAAAATGAGTTTTATGAGGTAATTTTGTTTTTATCAATTCTCATTTTGTAGCTGGTTATTACGACTGCTTGTTTATAACAGCTGTACACAGTACAAAGTGATCCAAACTGTTATTACCATCCGCCTAACATGGCTGATCTAACGTACTTTGAGTTTCTACTTGTATACCGGTTATACTGGTAGACAGAATCAACGTTACGAGCATAACCCTAAATAAAGCAAATTGAAACCAAAACCAAAACAGGCATAACTACGAAATCATAAAAACATCAAGTTAATTTATTTTATATACTGGTGATAAAATAAGCATTACCGATTACGCTGCTCAAATCAGCCAAATATCCTGCTTTCTGCTGAATCTAAAAATAGGATGATTTGGATAAATTGAAGTAGTTAATGTCAAAGTTAAACAATTATGGATGTTCTGGTCCACATAACTGACTGGTAAATGTTATAACATGCGTCATTTTTTTTTATTAATTCCAAAATTAAGGGGGAAGTGTAGTGCATGTAAATCCGGATAAAGTAAAACAAAAACATTGATAAAAATCAAACTAATAAGGTTAAAATGATAACATCCTTTACAAGTTTCTAAAATTTACCCAATATGAATTTATCGACGTCAATGGAGTTTTTGTATTGGGTATTTTCTAAGTTAATTATCAAACATTTGAAAAGCATGGGCGAATTACCCTGGCTTTTTTCTGTAGCCAATTGGATCATATCGTTTTGTTATCCTCAGTATCATGTTTAAAAAATTGTCATATAATCATGCTTGCTTGCTTTCAAAAACGTTCTTAACTGTTATAACCATAAGGAATACGAAAAAATGAATCTGGGAAGTGCAGAAAGTCTAACAAAGAAGCATTTTTACTCCACCATTTAGCCATATCGGCAATTATGGATTAATCTTTAAAAAACCGTTCATTTGTCACTAAGCTAGCATTTTAAGTAAATCCTGCCAAACTAAATATCAGCTACAAGGCTATGGCCAACCTCGGGGACTGATAGTCGACTATCAGAGTTAACAATCCGTTTGCGTAATATGACAACTCGATATATGAAGAAATAAAGCACCATCTGAAAATTGTATTTGTTGAAGCAGAATGCTTAAAATAGTTAACACTTATTTAATTCTTCAACATTAAACACGTAGATTAATCTGATATTGAACACAGGTAATCTGATGCACTTTGCTGCCTTTTATATATCTTTTTTTAATGGTACAGATAAAATATAACGGATATATTAATCTTGAAAACTCAGTCCAAATAAAGAATTTTATTGTTAGTATGGAATTTGTCGGTAAATGCGAATGTTTGATTGCCTTCTCAATAACGTAAATAAAGCAAATGTAACAAGTTATGTATGACTTATAATATATATAAAATAATACAAAATAATACTTTACCCGAGGAGCTGCCTGAATCACTTTCTCCAGATCTGCGTTTCCTGCTTTGCTCTGAATTTACAAATCACAAAGAGGATATACCATCATTTATGTTGATGTATGTAACTCTGTCTAGTAATTCCCATCACAATCATATTTACATAGGAAAATAGCGGGATAAAGACGATAGAAATAGTCACATTTGAAAAAAACCAAGTGTTATTAAAAAAAAAAGATTGATAACCACATTTTATTTACAAAAAAACCCAAACAATTCAAGTTTTGTTTGTTGAATTAGAATGCTTAACAAAGATAACACTTGTTTTATTTTTTAACATTAAACATAGCAAATCCAAAAGTAGATTAATCTTATACTAAACAAAAAGTAACTCTTAACAGGTGCTGGTATAATTACCTTCAGAAGAGACGCTCTAACTGGTTGTGCTTGACTCTAAAAACAACATTGTAATGAATTTATTAAAATAGAACAATATTTAAAGTACAAAAATAAAGCCAGTAGAAATATCTATTCAAATTGTTTTAAAAACACGATAAAAATATAAAATCACATTCGAACGCATTTCTGAACTTTGGAACAGAATAGGATTAAGTAAAAGGTGGCGTAAAACAAGTGATTGATAATCACATTTTATTTACAAAAATAACCAATGTAAGTTTTGTTTGTTGAAGTAGAATGCTTAACAAAGATAACACTTGTTTTATTTTTTAACATTAAACATAGCAAATCCAACAAGTAGATTAATCTTATACTGAAAAAAAAGTAACTCTTAACAGGTGCTGGTGTAATTACCTTCAGAAGAGACACTCTCACTGATTTCGTTTGACTCTAAATACAACATTGTAACATATTTATTAAAATAGAACAATATTCAAAGTTCATNGAGACGCTCTCACTGGTTGAGCTTGACTCTAAATACAACATTGTAAGGAATTTATTAAAATAGAACAATATTTAAAGTACAAAAATAAAGCCAGTAAAAATATCTATTCGAATTGTTTTAAAAACACGATAAAAATATAAAATCACATTCGAACGCATTTCTGAACTTTGGAACAGAATAGGATTAAGTAAAAGGTGGCGTAAAACAAGTGATAGATAATCACATTTTATTTACAAAAAAAAACAATATAAGTTTTGTTTGTTGAAGTAGAATGCTTAACAAAGATAAAACTTGTTCTGTTTTTTAACATTAAACATAGCAAATCCAACAAGTAGATTAATCTTATACTGAACAAAAAGTAACTCTTAACAGGTGCTGGTATAATTACCTTCAGAAGAGACGCTCTCACTGATTTCGTTTGACTCTAAATACAACATTGTAACATATTTATTAAAATAGAACAATATTCAAAGTACAAAAAATAAAGCCAGTAGAAATATCGATTCATTTTGTGTTAAAAAACATGATAAAAAAATAATGATATTACATTTGTAACGCAATTTCTGAAATTAGGATAGGAACAGTTTTTTCTAAACATTTTCTTCAGGTTGGTAAGTATGGTACATATAAAACAACTATTGTACATACGCTTACAGCGTAGCCGAATCGACATCGATGTTTGTGGACAACTCGAACGCATTTTACACCTTTGTGTGCATACGCTTCACTGGTCATTTGTCTGATGAAGGTGACAGTGTACATATCGTACTAGTCATCCAAACATCACATAGAAAATCTTATTGGTTGTGTAAAAACAACTTTTAATAATGAATAAGAATAGGATTAAAGGAAAGGTGGGGTCAACAGATGTAATAACAAATACGTTGATATAAGGAGACATCATCACATCTGTTACACATTACTATTATCGATAAAAATGAATTGACAATTGTCAATAAATTGGATATCATAAAATCACTCTGTAAACAAATTATCTCAATGATGCACTTTGCTGCCTTTTTATCTATCTTTTTTTATGGTTAATATAAAATATAACGGAAATATTAATCTTAAAAACTAAGTCCGAATAAACGAATTCATTGTTAGTATGCAATTTGTTGGTAAATGCGAATGTTTGCTTGCCTTCTCACTAACGTAAATAAAGCAAATGTAACAAGTTATTTATGACTTATAATATATATAAAATAATACAAAATAATACTTTACCCGAGGAGCTGCCTGAATCACTTTCTCCAGATCTGCGTTTCCTGCTTTGCTCTGAATTTACAAATCACAAAGAGGATATACCATCATTTATGTTGATGTATGTAACTCTGTCTAGTAAATTCCCATCACAATCATATTTACATAGGAAAATAGCGGGATAAAGACGATAGAAATAGTCACATTTGAAAAAAAAACAAGTTTTATCAAAAAAACAAAAAGATTGATAATCACATTTTATTTACAAAAAAACCCAAACAATTCAAGTTTTGTTTGTTGAATTAGAATGCTTAACAAAGATAACACTTGTTTTATTTTTTAACATTAAACATANGAGATTGTACATGACAACATTCCCATAATAAATGTATTAATGTTTCTCTTCCCACACCACAGAATGTGCATCTTTCTGTTTCACTCAATTTACATTGCATTAATTTGGTATTAGTATATAGAATTCTATGAAAGAGTTTGAACTGAAAATTCTGAAGTTTAGTGTCATCTGTAATATATCTCGGAATTGAATAAAACTTACACCAGGATTCTTTGGGAATGTTTACATGTAAAATTTCCTGCCATGCATCTTGACTTTTCTTTGGTATTTCTGTGACTGATTTCAGCATAAATTTATAAAAATAGTTTGTAACCTTTTCATGTTTCTTCAAATACTGAATAAATTTACTTTGTTTTGCCTCAATTGGTTCATTTCTTTGAAATAAAATTAGTTTCCATGACCTTGGTATTGCATTTAAAATTCCCAAAAATTCAATGAAATTAACAGCCAAATTGAATTTCTCACAAAAGTATTCATGTGTTAAAAAACTATTGTTTTCAACAAGATCCCCAATAAAAAAAATGTCCTTTTCACACCAATGTTTATAAATAAAAATCTTATTATCAATTTTAATGAAGTTATTATACCAGATCGGCTCAGAAGCAACAGTGTCTGGGGTTGTGGGGAGTTCATCACCAGTTAACTCTGCCCATATAGTGAATATTTCTCTCCAAAAGATATTTAAGAATTTGGAAATTTTTAAAAGCCCTTCTTTTTTCATTTTAAAAACTTTATCTCCCCCATATGGTTCAATTTTATCTAATATCAGTGTCTTCCAAGGTGAAGTATTTAATGGATCCAATATTTTTTTAATCCAGCACATTTTTAAGGCATGACAAAAAGATATAATGTGTGGTACACGTAAACCTCCCTCATTATAATCCCCATACATAACTGTACGTTTTACTTTGTCTACCTTTTCGTTCCATAAAAATTCAAAGAAATATTTCTGTAGCTCTTTGACCATTTCTAAGGGTGGGTCTGGTAAGACAGTAAATGTTTGAATAAAAATGGGCAGAGCTAAAGTTTTTATAACAGTTACTTTGCCAATATATGTAAGGTTTCTAAATGACCAATCATTTAGTAGCTTTTTGACAGTGACTAACTTTTGTCTGAAATTATCTTCCAAAATATTTTCCAATTGAAAGTTATAAGAGATACCTAATAATTTAAAATTTCCTTGGTGATTCCAATTCAAATTCCTATCTGGAATTTATTGTTAGTATGCAATTTGTTGGTAAATGCGAATGTTTGCTTGCCTTCTCACTAACGTTAATAAAGCAAACGTAACAAGTTATTTATGACTTATAATATATATAAAATAATAAAAAATAATACTCTACCCGAGGAGCTGCCTGAATCACTTTCGTCAGATCTGCGATTCCTGCTGTTCGCTGAAAATACACATTACAAAGAGGATATACATATATGTACTATCATGTATGTTGATGTCTGTAATTCTGTCTGGTAAATTCCCATAGCATTCATATCTAAATAGGAATAATGGCGGGGAAAAAAAAGTATAGGAATAGACCTATTTGATAAAAACAAGATTTATTAAGAAACAGAGCTATAATCACACATTTTTGAAAACCAAATTTCAAGTTTGCTTGTCCATTAAATTATTTTTTTACAACAGTCAGCAGGTACTTTTACTTGGGAATATCATTGAAATGGTGATACATCTTACATCTTGAGACCACTTTTACAAATTAAGACTAATACAAATTGAGATTAAGAATTTGATCATTTGAGTATAGTTGCCAATCTCTGATATTGAAATAGAAGTTTGATGAACAATTTTTATCTTTCTTGTGATTATTAAGTTTTTTAACAGTTTTCAGGCAGCATCTTTTGTCAATATAAATCCCAACTAAAATGTTCTCATCATCAACAAAGACGTAAATTTAACACAAACTTAAACCAGAGCAGTATTTTGTTTCCTTTATAGAATGAAGATATGACAGAGGAATCAAACTTTAAATGAGATGACGCGTTTCCTCTCATTTCATCTCTTGTACTTTTTTGGTGTGGCCTTACATGATATCATTGTGTTGGCCATTGTGACCATGTCTGTAACAGGCTATCTAGCATATCGCATGCATTTTCCAATCATTGTATCAGATTTATGACTTTTCTGTTAAGCATAAAAATCCTGACCCAAATATTTCTTGAGACTTATGAAATTATAAATAGTTACCGGCCGTGTGTAAGGAAAACAAGAATATTTGTTTACCTCGATCAATCACAAAGTCCAATAAGTATACAAGAAATCTTGGAAAAACCCATCATTACCTTTATAAAACAGTAAGTTATCAATGATATCAACAATATATTTAAATAAATTGCGAAACAATCACTGAATTTTGCCTGTATACTTGAATTTCCGTTCGATCCTTTTAAAGATCAATATGAAATATGTTCTTGTTTAACTCAATGATTTACAGTAAAATTGATGGCACTTTAATTAAGTCATTAATATATTAGTTAAAATTAAAAAGTAGTAAGAGAATCTTACACGGAACAATGTTTCATTCTTTAAAATATCAAAGATGTTGAAAATAACTATGCCATTGAACTAAATACAAAGCTATACTTACCCATCAATGAATGAACGTTTGATTCGGCAACGCCCATCTGTATAAGACAAAACTCTATAGATGATAAGTATGTTCACAGGATTAGCCTCCAGCCTATCGTGATGTTTAAGGGGTTAAATAAGTACATGTATGGTGACAAGATTAGTCGTGCAACCTATCGTGATGTTTTAGGATCGAGATGTTTAGGGTTTAGATAAGTATGTTGACAGGATTAGTCGTACAGCCTATTGTGATGTTTAAGGGTTTAGAAAAGTATGTTGACAGGATTAGTCGTACAGCCTATCGTGATGTTTTAGGATCGAGATGTTTAGGGTTTAGATAAGTATGTTGACAGGATTAGTCGTACAGCCTATTGTGATGTTTAAGGATCGTGATGTTTAAGGGTTTAGATAAGTATGTTGACAGGATTAGTCGTACAGCCTATCGTGATGTTTAAGGATCGTGATGTTTAAGGGTTTAGAAAAGTATGTTGACAGGATTAGTCGTACAGCCTATCGTGATGTTTTAGGATCGTGATGTTTAAGGGTTTAGATAAGTATGTTGACAGGATTAGTCGTACAGCCTATCGTGATGTTTAAGGATCGTGATGTTTAAGGGTTTAGATAAGTATGTTGACAGGATTAGTCGTACAGCCTATCGTGATGTTTAAGGATCGTGATGTTTAAGGGTTTAGATAAGTATGTTGACAGGATTAGTCGTACAGCCTATCGTGATGTTTAAGGATCGTGATGTTTAAGGGTTTAGATAAGTATGTTGACAGGATTAGTCGTACAGCCTATCGTGATGTTTAAGGATCGTGATGTTTAAGGGTTTAGATAAGTATGTTGACAGGATTAGTCGTACAGCCTATCGTGATGTTTAAGGATCGTGATGTTTAAGGGTTTAGATAAGTATGTTGACAGGAATAGTCGTACAGCCTATCGTGATGTTTAAGGATCGTGATGTTTAAGGGTTTAGATAAGTATGTTGACAGGATTAGTCGTACAGCCTATCGTGATGTTTAAGGATCGTGATGTTTAAGGGTTTAGATAAGTATGTTGACAGGAATAGTCGTACAGCCTATTGTGATGTTTAAGGGTTTAGATAAGTATGTTGACAGGATTAGTCGTACAGCCTATCGTGATGTTTAAGGATCGTGATGTTTAAGGATCGTGATGTTTAAGGCTCGTGATGTTTAAGGATCGTGATGTTTAAGGCTCGTGTTGTTTAAGGATCGTGATGTTTAAGGGTTTATGTTTGATTATCCACACCAGAACTGTTCTAGCGTTATATGTTTTTGACAATTGTAAACATATTTTATCTTTAAATTAGTAGATATGCCACCCTTTATGTATGTGTTGTTTATTATATCAGCATACATGGTTCATCCAATTGAACTAACATGTTGAACAGAACAAGTTTTTTTTTGTATGTTTTAATTGTAAATTAAACAGCAAACGATAGCACATAGTCAACATACAAACGAGCATGAAAAGTCAAATATTTTGAATAGTGTGTATTACTCAACTTCTGATTAATTGATAAATTTTGCACCGGCGCTAGAAAATGAACCAGAATGAAATATCAACAGCAAATAACTAGTCTTAGTTCAAAGAATAGCAAGGCATTTGAATTTCACACATGTTTAGTATACTTTTCTTTGAATCTGTCATTTTGCATATATTTCAAAAATTAATTCAATGATTCAGATCAGGGTTTGTTCAAATATGTCAATATTTCAACAATCTGTCATCTAATTTTTTTTTTGACGAAATGAAAATTATACAGGAATGAAAATGTCAGTAAAACAGATCTATAATATATATAATACTAATGTAACGTTTAAGTGAAAAATCGGTTAGACATTTGATTAAGCTATTAATATCGTACATATATATGTAATTAAATGAATATAAATGTTAGGAAAGTGATTCAAACTTACGATACTCCTCTGTCCGATCGCAGACGACTTGACTTTAGCAAGTAGGACAGATGTTGTAAACAGCAGGACTGCAAGAGGCAGGTTTGTTCCCTTCATACTTCTTTTGAACGGAAAACAATAGATTGTACGTGAATGTGGTACACTAAAAGACTGTCTATAAAAAGTGCGGCTGGGCTTCCTTTTTATACTGCCCTTTTCAGTTCACAAAGTTTAAACTTGTGATCATATATAATCGGTTGTTGACATAAATTCAGAACTTGAAAAATATCCCAGGGGTTAACAAGTTCACTGAGATTTACTTATAGATTAAAAGAAAACAAATGAACAGGTAATACATTTAAAATATCTTTTGTTTTTGTAGAAACCTACTGCCGTTCTGTGTATTATCAAATATGTTTGTGTCAAATATCACTAGATACCATCTATCGAGAATACCTAGCGGCATACTAAACAACCGTATCCATGCATGTTTTATATCAATTGAACTTTAAGGCTTGTGAATGCTACCATACCGGCACACCTCATTGTTTATGCTATTTTGGACTGTACACTTAATAACTATTCTCTCGGGATATTTTCTATTTTCCCGTGCGTGGTTTTCAACTTTATGTCGGTAGAAAGTATTTCGGTTATTGACGTAACTTCAGGATTTGTAAAAATATCCCAGGTGTTGAAAAGTTCATTGTGATTTTCTTATATCTTAAAAGAAAACAAATGGACAGGTACAGGGGTGTCAGCGTTTCAGTTGACAAACGGAATGGTATGAAACGCAATGAAAACGCGACAAGAACGGAATGAAAACGGAATGAAAACATGGCATTAACGGAACGGAACGAAAATAATTTCACTGTTTGGAACAAAACGCAAATAGAACGGAACGAAACATGCTTTTCTCACAGGAACGGAATGGATTGAAATTAGGCAGATCGAAATGCGAGGAATGATTGAAAACGAGATGGAAGAAACGATCCGAGAAGATAAACTATTCTAATCGATATTTCCGTTGTCATCTATAAGGGCTAGCTACGATAAACTAGCAGTAGCTGATAAATAATGTTAACTAAATAAATACACATTTGCATATTTGTTTACATATTATACGTATTTATTCCATATCTATGGGTTCTTGCCCATATCAGAGACAAATAATTAATTAATTGTCTGTGAATTGTTTCGCCGAGTGATAGATAGGCTGTTTGTTGCTGAAATAATGATGAACGTACCTCCACTTGACGATTTCACAAAGCATCCAATACATGTTAGGGTTGTACATATTATTATATCTATGTTCTTTTATGAATTCGGTATAAACTAACGATACTCCGAGACGGACGATGACCGGGTCTTCGGTGAGGTATGAGCAAAGATATATCGGTGAGGTGCTGGCAAATAAAACGTATCAATATAAGCTTGTGCACATATCAATTCGTATCATTTTAAGCTGAAACAATCTAAGTGTATTGTTCGATACTCACTCTTAATATTGCCAGCGCAGCTTTCACAATTTAAAATAAGAACAAAATATGGAAGCCATAAGATCAAAAGAATGATTGTTTAAAGTTCAACAAGCCCCCAAAAGATGACGTAGTCAACTAAAATTCCAACCCCCTGGTAAGTCATGTTCAAAGACCTCAATTACAAATCGGAACTCAAATATGTTATTTATATATATTGAAGTTGTACATTGGCCATACAAAAACTACATAGCCAGGTTAACGTAGTCAAAAAAGGCATTAAGGCTGATGTCTTTATACAAATAGTTCACCGGACTTAAAACATGTCAATCTCTTTTGCAACCCTACTGAGTGCTGGGAAATGACTCATAATCTAAAGTTTATTTATATACCTAGGTCATGCGGAGCTTTATTTCTCTTCTACTAACTGTTGAGAGGAATTCCGACCACAAATAAAGATAGATGTTGCCATGCGAAATCACTAAAATCATAATAAAATCTCCTGGTAATACATTTTAGCAAATTTTAAATAAGAAAACAATGGCTAAGTAACCTTGATCGATAAATGAACTTGAGATGATGTGCCATTTGATAACATTATGTGATTATATGAATGCGCTAGACATGTTATAAACATTGAAGCTGAAAAGTACAATAATGTTTACAACAAGTCTAGCTCTTTTATTACAATATTGAATGTTAAGGAAGGACATTTTATATGAAGTTTAAGTAGTATTTATGGTCAAATGTCTATGGTTATACACATATATACCGTTAAAATATGTTACTCTGACGTTTTACAATGATTTTTGTACATTCCCATAGCAACAATCATTTACTTGTGAGGCCGGTATGCCTCTCCACACATAGTTAAAGAGAAATAAAGCCCCGCTTGACCTAGGTATATAAATGATCTTCAAATAACATGTAATTTCGAAACATTCAGTTGGGTCACTTAGGAGATTGACATATTATAAATCTGTTGAGCAACTTTTATCATTACATCAGCCTTAATGCCGTATTTTTGACTTCGTTGACCTGGTAATATACCTTTTTAATAGCTCATGTACAAGTTCAATGTATTTAAATTACATATATATATTCCGATTTGTGATAAGAATATTTGAATATGACTTGCCAGGGGGTTGAAATTTAGGGTGACTATTACCTCTTTTAGGGGGCTTGCTGAACCTTAATGGATAACAGTCAATTTGAAATTAAATAATATAGCAAAAGCCGAAATTACCGGGTAATCGTTCAATTTTTGTTTGTCCGGTTAAATACGCAGTCTTGTTAAATGCCAATTCATTACCAGAGAGTTTTAAGGATTTGGCCAGACTATCAGGGTTTTGTTTTAACTTTAATAGGATAAATTCCAGTTTTACAGATGTGCATGTCTTATTCCATAATTCCATATCACCATCACGCGTTATCAAACCACGGAATTAGATTGCTATCTAAGTCCGTGATCAAACTTAGTGTATAGTATAGATACTGTCGGAAGAGTGCCTAGAAATTCATTAATTTTTTTCTGAATGATAAATGCTCCAACTGAGTAAACCTTTCATAGATGACAGTGATATCATACAAGGCAATTTTAAACCAGAAGGTGTGAAACGGAATACATCGATGAATACTTCAAAAGTGCAAAATATTCTGTTAGGGCATTTTCAAACGTAAGCACTACTGCATGTGGACACGTGAAGAATTATGTTACACAGGGACATCTGAATCAATTATGTTACACAGGGACATTTGAATCAATTATGTGGTGTATGTAAAAACATGGGTTATTATTTTACGTTTAAATTCCCTATCATACCCCTTTTTTTATTTGCATTGTACGACGTGGTTTAATTTTCGTTTGTTTTCCCATATTTAAGAACATTATATGCCATAGCTTTTTCTCCTCCTTACGTTCAATCCAGAAAATCTAGACGTATTTTTGCTTCAGAGACCAGCAATTGTTGCTTGAATTTTACCTTCCAAAAGGTTAGGGAGTGTACCACTTATCCTCGCTTACGGTGTGTAATCTGGTCCCGCTTATGTAAGTGTCAATCTAATTAGATAATCGCCTAAGGTGAATTTTCTCACCGTCCAGTGATAGTTGAATTTCAATTATTGGGGAACCCGCCTGCTAATGAACGGTGACCAGTTGCAGAGATATTGTTTTTATTGGCTCAACAGTCGTAAGACGTATCAGACTTGAAGGAAAACTTGAATGACAGAAGGGCTAATTTCATTTTCATATTCGTTGAGGTTTCTGAGTATCTCTCGCACGGTGTAAACATTTGCATAACGATTATGAAACCTGTATCACCTAAGACTGAAACATTCAACCAAATAGAAATGTATCTATTGATATTCATTGGTTTGTTTACGTAATGCATTACAGTAGTCGCGAGAGCATCGTAATATCTATGTCAATATTCAAGTTCGGAGACTAATAAAGTTATATGTCCAAAACTAAAAAGACATTTACTTAGAGACATATATACTTAGTGCAATCTGAGATAAGAATTGACCCGTTTGCGTCTGAGGATGCACGCCACAGTTCTGCGGGCAAGGGCGCTGGCAGGAAGAGGCAGGCTTCTGGTTCCTCCAGGCGTAGGAGATCAGGCGGAAATCTTCCTTCCGCGGTAGGGGTTCCCATAGGGGTCAGGGCAAAGACTCTTCCTTGCCCTTGGTAACTCCTTGTCTACTGTCTGTCGCCGCTCCCACGCCCATGTGCGCAGAAGGCTTCGCCGATGTGGTTTTGAAATGGCTAGATTGGCCCCTTCCGGACTTGCCAGTCGGCGGTCGGCTGTCCCATTTCGTTCCTCAGTGGAAGGAAATCACACCAGACAGTTGGGTCCTAGGGGTTGTGTCCACGGGTCTCTGCATCCCGTATCTTCAATATCCACCTCTGGCGCGAGAGCCTATCTTTTCCCTTTCTCATTTCGATCCGGGAAAGGTGGAGGCTCTCAGTTCGGAGGTTCAGGTCAGAATTGCGAAGGGCGCGATCGAGGAACTTTCACCGGATGGTATTCTCTAGGGTTTTATTCCCGTGTCTTCCTCGTGAAGAAGAAGTCCGATGCCTGGAGGCCTATTATCGACCTCAGTACGTTCAACACGTGCGTCGATTCTCTGCACTTCCAGATGAAAACGCCACGACACATCAATGCGTCAGTGCGTCCGGGGATGTTGGATACGTCCATCGATGCTTACTTTCAGGTCGGTTCTTGGCGTTATGTGCCGCCTAGGGTTCATTCCTTCTAGGGAGAAGTCTGAGGTTTTCCCCTCCCAGGTTTTTGTTTTCCTCAGTTATCGGTTCAGAACCGATCTGGGATTGGTCCTTCCGCCAGCGTCCAAGTTCGAGAAGGCTTCTCTGTTGGTCTCCGTTCTGGTCGGTGTGGAGCGGATTCAGGTTCGATGGTTCCTTCGGTTCCTCGGTTACCTGAATTCACTGGCGGATGTGGTTCCCTTGTGTCGGCTTCACATCCGTCCGCTCTAACTGTTCCTTCTGTCAGTTTGGTCTCCGGCGTCTCAGCAGTGCGATGTGTACTTCCATTGCCGGAGTCGGTGAAGGAATCAGCTCCGTGGTGGACTCTCGAGAGCAATGTCTTGGCAGGAGTTTCTCTGGCACAGGCATCTTCTTCTATGACCCTTTTACACCGACGCGTCCATGACCGGTT